TAGCCGAAGAGATACTTAGATATGGAAATGTAAAAGTTGCTGCAGAGGTTTTCACTTTCCGGGAGCTGGCTGCTGCAACTGGAAACTTCAATCCTGAATTGCTAATAGGCGAAGGAGGATTTGGGAGGGTGTACAAAGGACACATTGGAAAGAATAAACAAGTCTGTCGTTCTCTCTCGCTCTCTCTCTCACACACACACACACTTTGTTTTTCTTATGCCAAACGTGTTTCTTATTGTCTATATTGTCTTTTATGCCTTTCAGATTGTGGCTGTGAAGCAACTTGACAGGAATGGATTGCAAGGAAATAGAGAATTCCTCGCAGAGGTCCTGACATTAGGTCTCGTTCACCACCCAAACCTCGTGAATCTGATTGGGTATTGTGCTGATGGCCGACAAAGAATTTTAGTATACGAATACATGTCCAATGGATCTTTGGAAGATCACCTTCTCGGTATGCCCAAGATGTTTTTTCTTCGATTTAACTTAATTTGTTGTGTTTAAGAGAGATCAAACATGAGGAGGAGAATCAGCTTTACCATCCCAATTATGTAAAAGGCAAGGAGAGGCCTTATTATAATTGTCTATGTTGTTGCATTTGGTTAGGCTTACAGTTTGATCTTTGTTTCATTTTTTACTTTTTTTGAACGATTCTATGGAATTTAAGCCTGTGCTCAGCTAAACTGCTAATTAGCAATTCATAGACCATTTACGCGTCTTAGCTGACACCAGATGCATGTTTAATTCATTGTCCTAGAAATTTGTTAAAATCTAGCTAAACATGTTCTGATCACAATGTCTGATTTTTAGATATTTCTCCAAATAAGAAGCCCCTTGATTGGTCTACTCGGATGAAGATAGCCAAAGTAGCAGCCGTAGGACTTGAATACTTGCATGAAACCGCTAGCCCTCCAATCATCTACCGCGACTTCAAAGCATCTAACATCCTATTAGACGAGGAGTTCAACCCTAAGCTCTCAGATTTTGGACTTGCTAAGTTAGGTCCAACAGGAGACAAGGAGCATGTGTCTACGAGGGTGATGGGGACCTATGGCTACTGCGCACCAGAGTATGCCAAGACAGGCCAGCTGACAACTAAGTCTGATGTTTACAGTTTTGGAGTTGTGTTTCTGGAGATAATCTCAGGAAGGAGAGCTATTGATAATACAAGACCAACTGAGGAGCAGAACTTGATTGCTTGGGTAAGGAGTTTAATATTTGAAATAAACTCATATTTATCTGTTAACAGGTGTAGTAACTAAAAACATAAATGGCATCAGAAATTGAAACCTAGGCTTGTTTTCCTCTTATGTGCTAGAACAGTACTAGCTTGAAGGCAAAGGCATAAGTTGCTCAGGACTAATGGGTTCATTTCTTTGACTACATCACTAATAGAATAGAAGGATAGAGAAAATCAGTTATTTGATCACTTATTGCACTATCCTTCTTCTTTTTTTCATTTTGCCTTTAGATAGATCATGAAATTATTTGGTTGTGCTCCATAAGCTAATTGGTAATAAATGCACCTACATATGTTCTTGGCATAAATTCAATCGCTTCCTTCTATACGAAATAGAGGCATAATTTTATCTAATTGATCAACGAATTCAGAACTGCAACTTATGTCCAAACTATCTTGCAGGCACAACCACTGTTAAAAGACAGAAGAAAGTTTACATTGATGGCTGATCCATTGCTCGAAGAAAAGTACCCCGTAAAGGCTCTATATCAAGCACTGGCTGTAGCAGCCATGTGTGTCCAAGAAGAAGCTAGCACCAGACCTTTAATCAGTGATGTTGTCACTGCTCTTGAGTATTTAGCAATGACAATAGATGAAGGGACCGATGCACCAGATGCATAAAAGAGGCACCGATAAAAGAAGCATCATCAAACGTAAGGACCATAGCCTTCATGTATGAGGCTAGAGGATAGCTGCATGTGCTTGATCACCAGATGAAGGCCTAAATCACTTCCCACCTGCCCCCATAGCGCCTTCCAACCACCCCCAATAAACAAAAGACCCCTTTTATATGGTTGCATAGCTTGTGTGCTTTTATCAGTGTATGAGTGTGTGATATCAGATATGCAACTGTGATCAGTCATCTGTTCAAGTGGTGGACCTGAAATTATTTCTTTCAAATACATATTTGGAGTAGTGTTCTTGAAAAATTAATACATAAGCATTTATTCAGTTAGTTGCTGAGGTTATTAGCATATCAGAGTATCTATTTTATACCTTGCTTTTTATGTCCACCACTATTGGAAGATGAATGCATTAGAAATACGAAGTAGGAGGGAGGGCATACTTTTTAACAGCTTGAACATTTTTTCATTGAAGTCTCCTGCCGGTTTTTCTTCTTCAGTCCTCTTTTTCCTAATCCTCATGTGCATCTCCTATATGGTTAACAAACTGTTACATTCATACAAGTTAGAACCCAGAAACAAAATATTCCACCAAGCATTACTGCATTGATCCATTTTCAAGAATTGTCAAAGAGCTGCAGGATTACAATTTCCAAGATGTGCAAATTCCAGTTGTAATCAGCCCCTCCAAAAGTGTGGTAAGATTGTCTACTGCTTACTTCTTTCGAACCCTGCTCTAGGTGGGAGTCTTGTACTATGCGTGAAATAAACTGGTGTCAAACAGCTATTTAAGCTCAAACGCCACCTATGATTGTATGGGTGGAAAGGCAAGACTGCCAAAACAGGTCATATTGTAAGGAAAGCTATCACTCAATACTCACGATGGTAATGTTTGACAGCATTTATTTACAAAGAGTTCTCAAAAGAAAAGAATTCGAGTAAGGAAGATACATTTCAAAAAATTAAGTCCCGCATACCACCTACTGACATATGAAGCAAGTTCTCATAGGTCTACCCAAACAAAGAAAAGGACAATCCAATGCACGAGGTTTTTACCATTGGGGCCAAGGAAGAATGAGATGAAATACGTAGTGTGGAGAGGCTGTGAGAACATATATAGTTGCCTAAATCTCATAACTCTCCATATCAGCTTTAAGGTTCCAGTAACTGAACCCCGAAACTCCATTCAGCAAATAGCTTTCTGCCACTTCCACAGCAGAGCAGACACGTGGCAAGTACCCACTGCATCTTCTCTTCCTCTTCCTCCAAACCCTCATTAAGAAACCAAAACTAGGCCATGATTTACCTCCAGTGGAGGCCATATCCACACTATGTCTCTGTGGCCTTATTGAGCTTCCACAAGGGTCTAAATCAAGTCTCCTGAAATACTCAATCTCCTTCCTGAGAAGTGATCCTACAGTGCCTCGGGCACCTACCTCAATAGGAGCTGTTGCACTCATTTTCTCAGGTACCTTGCTGGTTCTGGTTCTGTCTCTATATGCTAGTTCTACTTGTTGAAGTGAGCTGAGGCTTCTGGATTGTGAAGAATGGTAGTTTTGAGTCTTTGCCTGGGTGGGAGGATTGCTTAGAGTTTGATACACCTTCTTCCTTGCCTTTATGTTGTGTTTATAGAGGAAAGAGTACTGAGTTTGGTGTCATATTGAAAGCACATAAAGTTGCATTAGCATCCAATCACAATTCAATAAGTGTCGATTGTTCCTTTAAACTTCAAAATTGATCTCAACTTTTCTTAGTCGATCCCGAACAGACTATTTTAGTCGTAACACCACATGTTTGAGTCATAACGTCACCCGCTTATTTTGTTATTTTTGATCCAATACCAAGAAAATAATATTTCGGTTGAGTACAACTTTAAGAAAAAAAATGAGGAAAATAAAAGATAAGAAAAAAAAAGAGCCCTTGAGAAGGAAGAGATCATCATATATTTTCTGGTGTTTGTCATCAAAGCAGGCAAAAAAATAAAGAAAACTGTACCTGCTTTTTTCCCTTTTTTGACTTATGGGATCATGTAAATGGTTTTGAACTTGTTGCACGCTTCAGCATTATGATACAAGTAATTGAGAACGCCTGACCACGCTCTCTCAGAGTTATTAGTGCACCAAATGAAGGTGACCAAATTCGCTTAGGCAATCCTTTTTCTTTTTTTTTTTGATTCAATGATCAAAATTATGCTGGTCTTGTTTAATTTTACGACTCATCTCTATTACTATTTAAAAGTTATCCTTAGAGTTGCAGTTATCACATTTGGTACCATCAAATTTCTTTCCCATAAAAAAAGGATAGAAATCACTTGTCATCCCTGAGGTTTGAAAAAATTTCAATAAGACCCCTTATGGTTTTGGTTGTGTCACTAACCTCCAATATTTCAATTTTTTTTTTAAAGGGGAAGGGGGAGGGGAGGAAGATTTGATCCCTTGACTTTAAGAAGACAAAACTTTTATAAGACAAAGAGTACCATTTAACCAAAAACACATTAGTAAAACTTTGGGTCTCTATCTCATAACCACGTGCTGACTTGAAGTTCAAAACTTGTACTATAAGATTAAAAAATGTGAATTATTAGTTATTTTATTTTGACTAATAAAGAGTAATTCTATTCTTATCGAAACTCTATATCAAATCTTTCATACTAAATGATGTTGAAACTCATTTATCTGATAATTATAAATATGTCATATTACTTTGGATGAAAGTCTATACATTTGGTAAACTGGAAATTATTAAAAAATTAAATATTAAAACTGAAACGAATCAGTGATTAAACTAAAATTTTAATATTTTAAAATTTTTTAGAATGTTTCAAAATATTTCAACATATTTTTATTAATATTTTAAAATATTTTGAAATGTTTCAAGATATTTAGATATATTTTGGCCAATATTTTTAGAATAATTTAGAAATAAATATTCAAATTTTATATTTTTTTTTCTTCTATTTTCAAAACATTTTCTTTTATTGGTGACCGGAAGAATATACGGAAATTTGATATTATCAAAAAGAAAAAGAAGAAAAGAACAACATATGACGTACGACCCGACCCGGATTAGAATATCCAAACCTCTTCATAAAAAACTGTTTCAAGTTCTTCCTTCTGGCCTCTCAATCATAAACCCTTCACAAACCCAACCAATGGCGATTGGTGCAGCCAATATCACTTCAATCTTCACCAACGGCTTAGTATCGTCATTGTTATGGACCTCCAATTGCCGGAGCTTAGTCACTCCTGCCACCCTTGTGCGCACGTTAGCCTCATCTCATGCCAAAATTCACCGCACAAACTTGACCTGGTGTTCTTGGAATTCTCACAACAGCAATAATTACAGAAGCTATAGTTGTGAATCCTCTGCTGCTTCAGAAGTCGCACCAAGTGTTACAACCACTTCATCCTCTAATGGGTACTCCATAATTCCTTTATATGTTTTCTTACTACTACCCACTTACACGATAAGCATAGGCATTCATATTTTTAAGTTTATAATTTAGACTAGTTAAGTGCAATTTATATTCTTTTGGTTATTATGTTAATGGGTTTTGTTTCATTTGAAATCTGTACCAGAAATTTTGTTGCAGCTGATGTAATTGACAACCACTGCTTACATTGATTGTTTCCCATATCTAGCTGGTATTGTACTTTGAAAGACCAAAACTTGATCACAATTGGAAAAAGTTCATGCTTTTGGCAGATTTGAAATCTTTCTTTTAGACCAACACTTGTCTTCCTGGGAGAAAAAACCATATTGAATGTGTTTCATTGAAGTTGTCTCACACAGATTTTAGCTGTAGCTTCTCAAAGATGAAGATTGCTTCTAAGTTTGTAGGAAATGCCTGGAGGCCCATCATGTTTAGTTGTATTTTGTGTTACCATTAAGGATGCATTCATTCTAACTTCTTGATTTTGGTCAGCCTTATTCGACATACAAATTGTTTATTTTTGCACCATCGTTCAGTACCATAGACTAAAACCATAACTAGCAGGATTGAATTGTGTTTTAATTTGATAATGTTAAACAATTTGCAACTGAAGTCAATGTGTACCGAATATGATTGGTTCTTAGAAAGCAGCAATATAGGATTTACTGGTCTATTGTTGGAGGTCATTGACTATATCAGTGATATCAAGAGTTTGTTCAGATTTTTGTGACTGACATGGATGTGTATCTCTCGATACCCTTGTTGGTCCAGTTATCTTCTGTGTTTCCTGTATATGTATATGTTGTCTTATTCAACTTACTTATGAAAACCTAGGATATCAATCTTCTGACACATGGAATTACTATTGTTTCAGCTATCCTGAATATGGCCGTTTGCTTCCATGTCCTCCACAAAATAGCCCACCAAGAGTGGAACACCTTGTTGTTTCAGAAGGAGGGCCTGTTCTTGAGTATATTAGTAAAGCGTTGGATCTTCCTCCTTTGTGAGTGCTACTACTTTGTATGCCATTTGATCTGATTCAACCCAGGTAAAATGAGGAATGTACTGTTTTATCTTTGAAGGTTTGTTGCAGACCTCATCCACTTTGGAGCTGTACATTATGCCCTTGTATGTCCAGAGCCTCCTCCTAGTGCAACACCAGAGCAAATTAGGGTGTATAAAGCAGTAACAGCTCCATCAGTTCTCCACATGAGACGCTCAATTAAAGGGAAAACTTTTCGAGAAGCACAAAAAACATTCCGGATAACTTGGATCGACGAGTTTGTTGAACGTGGAATGTACTTAAGGGTGCATGTACACCCAAAACGCTTCCCAAGGTAATAGCTTGTGAAATCTGTGATATTAACTGTTTTTGATTAACCATTATGCTGTTTTTGACGTTTGTAGCTTGATCAGGTGCTATGAAATTGATTGGAAATCAAGAATCATTGCTGTAACTGAATCCTATGTCATTCTGGACAAACCTGCAGCTACATCAGTATGTAGATAATCTGTTTATTTCCTTAGAGTATTTTTATATTTTTTTATATTTTATTTATTTATTTTTTCCTTAGAGTATTAGAATAGCTTATACTAGTGAATACTAGGTCTTGCACATTACATGTTCAGGTGGAGTTTTATTGATCATATGTTTTAATTGAAATGATCTGATTAGCTTTCATTGTTTGCCAATATATGCCTGGTTGCTCATTTGACTTTCTATGTTATAAATAAGATGCACATTGCAACTAGCACTTTTTCTGTAAGAGGCTTGTTTTGTGTTCAATTTCTTCCCCTTATGGAGAACTATAGTGTTGATACACCTTTATTTTGTTTCATATATGCTTCTTTCTACTCATTTCTTAAAGTCAAGCAAGAAATCTTTTCCCTTTATTGCGGGCATATAAAAGAAGCTTGCCGAGCAAACGCAGGCTATGGCTCAAGCAATAAGCAATGGCTATCAGCTGAATATTCCTTTGTGCAGTAGAAGTAGATTCCGGAGAAAAATGTTATTGGTGAAACTGCTTGGGGCTGTTTTATTTATTTTTTGAAAATATACATGATGAATGACCTTACAATGTCAGTGACTGACACGTACATTTTGAAACTTCTAATCCATTGATTGCTTGCTGCATTCGTGGTTAGGTAGGAGGAACTACAGACAACATTGAAGAAAGTTGTGCAACTTTTGCAACTCGTGCCTTGGGATTAACAACACCATTGATGACGACCCATCAAATTGATAATTGCACTGAAGGCTGGTATTGTATCTGAAGTATATCTGTGCTTGTATTGTTGGACTGTGGATTTTGCAACCTAATCATGGTTTCTAATTTATTTGCAGTGTAGTGTTAGCTAGGACTAAGGAGTACAGTTCAGTATTTCATGGAAAAATCAGGGTAAGTGACAAGTTCTTTAGTTGATATAGACTCGGGTATATGGGACTGCTAATTGTTTCATTCTATCATATCCAGTCCTCTTTTACTTGTCTCCTGTATGCCATCTGAAGCTACGTATCTTTCGATCATCAGGAGAAAAAGGTGAAGAAGCTTTATCTTGCTCTTGCTGCTGCTCCTGTGCCAACTGGAGTAATTACACATTATATGCGTCCAGTTAATATTGCTCCAAGGCTTATTTCAGAAGGTAACCACCCATATGAAATGAAGCATGAATCCTAGGAATACACCTTTGACCTCTATGGATTTTTTTTTTTGATATCTTGAAGTTGATAGATACTTGATATTTCGTAATGTTTTCGATTGACTAACCTCAATGTAGAGCGGTAAAAGACATATTTTGAAGTTGCGAGACTAATAATAAAGTAAAAAAAAAAGAATGATGATTCTCTATAATTCTTTGGGGGAATTACACCCAGACCCCCTGAGATTTGTCACTTAATCCTTCAGACCCCTTGACATTTGAAATATTACACACAGACCCCTTGAAGTTTGTACGGACGTAACACTTAGATCCCTGTTGTAAATATATCCGTTAATAAAATATACTTAGACTCCCATAAAGTTTGTGGGTATATAATACTTAGATCGTTTAAGTTTAAAATATTATACTTAGACAAAAAATACTCAAATCAAATATCAAATATTTTAAATTTTACATCCAAAATTCATGTTTTATTGTATCATTTATTGAAATAAAATTAAAAATAAAAATATTTTTTTTAAAAACAAATCGTAATTAGTATACAATTATACTATCTATGAGAATAAAACTAAAAAATCAAACAATGGATCTAAGTCATTCATAATAGAACTTGAATTTTACATTCAAAATTCACGTTCTATTATGTCATTTATTGAAATAAAATCAAAAATAAAAATTTATTTTTCTTTAAAAAAAACATAGTTAGTATATATTTATACTGTCTATTAGAACAAAACAAAAAAATTAAACAAGGAATCAAACTGTAATGGATACAATATCTTTGAGATTTAATTGGGGTAGTTTGATATTTTAATTTGGTCGTCTAAACGACTAAAATTAAATTCTAATAGACAATATAATTGTATATTAATTACAATTTTTTAAGAAAAAATTGAATTTTTTATTTTTAATTTTATTTCTATAAATGATGCAATAAAACATGAATTTTGATTGCAAAATATAAAATATAAAATATTTTATATTTGATTAGAGTATTTTTGGCTTATTTACAAAATTTAAAACCTAAAGGGTCTAAGTATTATATACTCACAAACTTGAGGAGATTTAAGTATAATTTATTAACGGATATATTTACAATAGAGGTCTAAGTGTTATGCGCGTATAAACCTTAGAGGGTCTGTGCGTAATTTTTCAAATATCAGGAGGTCTGAGTGATTAAGTGACAAACCTCAAGGGGTCTGAGTGTAATTCTTTCTAATTCTTTTTATTTTCTTACGTGTTTTTTTCCATATGTGTTGTCTACAAAGAGCTAATTGATTGGAAATTTTACCTATCGTGGTATACTTATTTTGAGGGTTGAGGGGGGATGGTAGAAGGTGCATGATATGTGAGCAGGACAGCCTACCAAATTACCATTCCTTGATTGTTCAGAAATTACGGTGAATAAGATTGTTGCTTTGCTTGTGGTGGTGTGCTTAGAAGAAATTTAACAGGTGTTAAGCCGGCAAGGGAATGGCCATTTACAGAGTTAAGACATTCAGTGCTTGACATCCTTTTTTGCTTGGTGGGATCCTTGAGTGACTAAGTCTAATGTTGACTTTTAGGGAAAGTTGACTTTATTGGTTTTATGTAGGTTTTCCCTCTTCCGGTACATAGTTTTTATTTTTGTGAATACGTATTTTTAGTATACTTTTTTCTGATGGCGTTGCAATCTAACAGAATGAAAAAATTTCAATTGAACAGTTTTGGCCATTTCTCATTTTACAGTGACAATATTGTCTTGTGTGGTTTATCTTTTTTTTTTTTTTTGTTTTGTTCTTTTTTGGAAAATGAAAAGGATATCCACTAATCTTCTTCATGTTGTATTGTTGCCATTCGACTTACCCTCTATTTGTTTGTAACTTGAGAGATATTTAAGAAAGAGATACCCAGCTACTTAAAAACATAAACTTTTGTATCTTAAAGTTCTCTCTTAAGTCTGTTCAGTTTGGGTCTATATATAGTTTGGGTGTCCGGCGATTTTTTTGTTCTATTCTCCCCTTCTTTAACTGAATGAACCTGATGGAGGAAAAAAAAGAGGGATTTTGAGAATTGTCTGTTCTCGTATCCCTACTGAATGTGTTAATGTACCATGAGCGCATGGTCGAATCCATGATGCACCCTTAGAATTTAAATTTAAGTAACTTTCTTGCTGTGACGTGCTGTTGTCAGAAAACACTTATCTATCTGTTTCTGTGAACCTAATGAATTTATGGCATGCAGAATTTGTTAAAGGATGGCAGTTATGCCAACTTGACGTCTTAGAATGCAGGAAGGTTCCCTGGCCAAATGCCTTAATTGAAAAGAAATATGGTATCGTGGATTGTGGATGGCCTTCTAAAGATTTTGCGTATGAATGTAAAATTAACCTGTTGACAGGTCGGACTCATCAGGTATTCTGAGGTGTTGTTATTATTGTTAAGTCTTTTACTTTTTTTTCCCGGACTGGTGGGGGTCATTTCTGTTATATCTTTTATGCCAATTCTTTTAGTTTTTCTAAATTTATGTTATATCCTTTGTTTTTGAATTCATAAGGTATAATGTTCTGGAATTTAAGCAGTTGTTTGCAATTGACGTTTTCTTCCTCCTTTTGATTTTGGGGCTCTACAGAGTTAAAAGCAGTGGAAATTTACTTGAATGTATATCTTCTGTTGGGTACTAAGCTAAGAATATTTGACTAGGCAGCAACACCCAGACAATTGAAAGATTATAATTTCATGTATTGCTTGTGTAAACCTGATTTCAGGGAAAATTATTGATCAAACTTTGTGGTGTTCATTATATTCTATTTGGAATTTCCCTTTTTTAGGAATTGGAGTTTAAGTTGCTAGAAAAGGGTGGGGTAGAGCATTCTGTCAAACTGTCCTATTTGGTATTCCTTTTATCCTTCACAGCATGGGCAAAATTTGTTGTGTTGACAACATTTAGTCATGCAATACAGGTGCGAGTGCAATTGGCTGCCATCGGTGCACCAATAGTTGGGGACTCAAGGTACATGCCAGCTGCAATTGCAGAGATGTTTAGTCCTGGGCTTAATCCATTTGGCAAGCACAAGAAACAATATACAAATGAGGATGATAGGGCAACAGCAGTCGAAGAGTGGATTGCTCAGCATGGAAAGGAACATACCGATGGTATAGGTCTTCAAGCTTGTCAGATTTCATGGGATGAAGGAGAGCACTGCTACGAGGCTGGATCTCCTTGGTGGAGATAAATTAAGATTAGGCGTGCTCTTAGGTGCCATCGGATGCGGGTCACTGACAAAGTTTGGTATATAACTTCATGTGAAGTATGAGGTCCGTATTACTTGTCACTGTTGTTGAAATTATTTAGCATTAGTACTTACAATTTGTCAACTTTCATTTGGAAGTGATAGGTAAAAATTGTTCCATTTTTATGTGACCCCATCCTACAATTGCTGCCTCTGAATTGAAAGATCTCAACTAGTAGGCATGCTCATTGCTCAATATAATGTAGAGATCTGACAACATGGATTGAACAGCTCAATGCCTCAAGTTGGCTTATAGATTGAAGTATAAATAACACATGAGGAGTTCTGATTCTTCACTTCAAAACAAAATATGTTATAGGAGGAACTTGGGCAATACTTGGAAATAAAATGGTTCAATTTTAGTTAGGCAGTTCCTGAATAAGGATATTGGTATGATTTTTGGTATGCACAGAGGGTAGCAATCCCATCTAGCTCCTTGAAAATCAATATAAGCACTATACACATTTCTAAAAGAAACTGAAAATACAATACAAATGTTTGAAGCAACTTAACAATGTAGACGTCCATTCTCTTGTATTTCATTTATAAGATGAGATGTGGAAGCAGTTCTATAATGAACATAACAGATTTTTCTTGAATTCTGATTTATCTAAAAGATCATCAAACTAACAGGTGTACCTCGCTTGGTATCACTTTTTACACCACACAGAATTTCAACTTCGTAGAAAGATCAGAGTGCTTGAAAAAGTTCTGTTTATTTGACTTCTTGATTCCTCTCAGGCACTATGACTTTGTGAGCCTTATAGTTCAAAACGAACTGCTTATACCAATTTGCAGATAATTTTGGAGTTCTCTTGAGGTTCGCATAATCAACATGGTGAATCCCAAACCTTGTCGTATATCCAGATACCCACTCAAAATTGTCAAGCAAGGACCAGGCGAAATATCCTCTCACATCTGCTCCATTCCTGATCGTATTATATCATCAATTATGATAGAGATAAGTGAAACATACTTCTTGCACCCCAAAACTTTCAAACTCAATTTCAAACTGAGTAATTATCAAGTCCCAATCAGACCTTTAAATCAAAACCATATGGCTACCCATAATTACAAAGCTTTAATGTAAATAATTCATGGAATCCGGTCAAGTGAAGTTGATGTATTTAAGGGGTCAATTGAGCTTCACTTTTTGTCAGTAGGGAGCCAACAGGATATAAGAGAGAATGGCAGCTAGTGCATAAGACTCCCGCCATTGGGAGGCCTGAGGAGAGTTGAGGTATGTAGTATCCTCTTCGCGAGCAAAGAGACTATCTTTGTTAGGATATGAGACAGAATGAGAGAAAAACATGACCATCAATGGGAGGATTACTACCTTATTGCTGTTGCCAGAGCATCCAAGTAGTTGTTCATGTACTCCACTCTTTTGACATCATTGAGGAAAACTGTGGCAGTTGAATTGGGATCATTGAACTCACCAAAACCTACACGTTTGTTTCATTCGTAAGAACTAATGTCAATGTAGTGACTGAATGATCTCTAAAATCACATCAAGGTTGTTTCAAGCTCACCATTTTCTGTAATGAACATTGGTGTATTGTGAAACCTTGCCTTAATGTATGTCACCTCCTTCTCCATTCCTTGAGGGTAAATGTATAGCCAGTCCACTGCGGTCTACATCATCAAACAAATTTAACTAATTTTCCAACAATATGAGGGTTACCCTGGGGGAAGTGGGGATGGACAAATGGTAAGAGTACATACAGGTTCTCCAATTAGAACACCATCCTTTGATGCAGTCCGGAGATAATAACCCTCCGTCTTAGTAACTCCTGGTCCTTGTTCGCAAACAGAGTATATGCAGTCTTTCACATAGAAACTAGTATACTGGTTGATGCCGATAAAATCTACTCCACTCTTTAGCATCTCCAGATCACTTTTCGAGAAGACAGGCAATAGATTTCCTAGAATATCTTGCATTTCTGCAGGATATTTCCCGAATATAACAGGATCTAAGAACCTGCATTTAAGTTTAGATGGAGTGAGAGTGGCCCTCTGTCATGTTCTGTAAGTCTTGGCCTTCCTTGTGCATTCATATCATATTAAGGAATTAAAATGTCATGTTTTTTACATGACAAAAGTGTATAAGATCTGTGAATCATGAGGTGGATTTATTTCTGCATCCGGCTAGTGAGAATAGACTTATGGACAAAGAAAAGAGCTCACCAATTCATGTAGAAAGATTGAGCTCTCTCAGCTGCCAACTCGTCTTCTGATGAATTGCTGATTGGTTCAAACCATATGGCATTCATAGCAATTCCAATTATACCTCTTTGTTTATCCTGAATGTTTGCAAGAAACCATTATACCAAGAAAGAAAAACCTTGCTTGTGTTTTCTTGAGCCCACTAATAGATCACTTCGACTATTTGATATATTTAATACCTGATATCTAGTTCTGTAAATTTTGACAGCAGCTGCATGGGAGAGGATGATATTATGTGCAGCAATGAAAGGCTCTCTCTCTGAATCCCCAGTGCTGCAATTCCCAAATGATCCTGAGCAATGAGAGGGTGGGTAAATCCCTGACCTGTAACCGCGAATGGCTACAACATTTGGCTCATTGAAGGTGATCCAGTACTTAACTCTGTCCCCAAAGTTTCTGAAACATATATCTGCATAGTATTTGAAATCCTCCCTGAAAAACATACGATGTATTTGATGGTGAACATTTCTATATTTCTTAGCCAAAAAGAAAACTTTTTCCTGTATACATGTAATATACATTTGAGGTAAATTTTACAAGATTTTTCCAGTTGTGAGATTAATACTCTGAAAGACAACCATTCTGTAGCACGAGGTTATGTCTCTGTCCGATTCAAAACTGTTTTAGGTTGGTCCTTTCTCAAAACCTTTTTGTGATGTCCAACTAATTGATTGGAATTTTCTGGATTCTTCGAAAAATAGGGAAAATTTTATAATTATTTTCCATCATCATCAACTAATGTACTGGGACCCCAAAATATCCTCAAATTCTATGCCAAAGTTGCCCTTACATAAGACTTCTACTCCCTTTTTTCTATCATACAAGAGCTCCTCAAAATGAAGATTCCACATAGCACTAGACTGCTTCTATACTTACTGCACTTTGGTACTTAGCCAAGCTCCATATCTATCTTCAAGTTCTTGAGGGATGTCATAATGAGTCAATGTGACAATTGGTTGGATCCCTGAAACCCAAAAAATGGGAATTAAGGCGGCAATAAAAGATTTTCCCCTGGGAAAGAAAGGCCTTATGTTAGTGACATTGCAATGATTATCTTCCCTGATTGATCAGTTAATTTTTCATCTCAACTATTGAGTACTACCACATAGAAACAAGGTTTTTTTTTTTGGGGGGGGTATGCTGTTGGGGCAGAGCTTCTCTGCTGTCCATTAGATGTGGTGCTCCTAAAACGACATCATATCACACGGGTTTCTTTTTAGGAACAGCAGTGTGTTGTACAGCAGAGGATTCCTGGCCATTTTGTCGATACGGTTTGTGATGCATGTGTACAGATTCAGTAGCAGAGGTAACCTTTTAGCAGGAGTGCATCAATGAGCTTGTTATAATGCTTGATTCCAGCCATATTCACACTTCCAAATCTCCCATCTGATTTAAACTTAGAACAAGAAGTTACAAATTCAAAGAATGGATTCATACGACAGCTTAGAATCATTTCTCAATTCACAGTAGGGTGTGAGACTTACTAGGTAGAATTCTTGCCCAGGATATAGAGAAACGATAACTGTCCACCCCAACATATTCCATCAGATCAATATCCTCCTGCAAGTCATATACACAGTTTTGATTAATTTTGTTTGGTTCACACTTGCTAGAATTCAATAAACCTTCAACGATTTACGATTTGGGTACATTGATCTTAAACGGGGTAAGTTCGTGATCCAGATCATTAAAATATATTATCTCTAATTATAATACTAACTCTAAATTAACTCGCTCTGGAACATATAACACAAATATGAAATGTATATTAATTAACTACGTGTATACAGATTTGTAATTATATATTATTTTAAATACTAGAAAATTGGACACAAATGTAAGATAAATGGTAATTGACTTAGTGTTTATTGATGTTATATGATGTATAATATTATATAGTAGTGAAAACGATATAATAAGAGTTTCAAAATAAATTGTGAGCCGCGAATATAAGAAAGTGTCGTATCATGTGTTGCGCACTTGTACCGTGTACTAAAGTGACCCATGATACATATAACATTGGTTTGATTATTTGAATTCCTAATTAGAAGCTGGTTAATTATAATGATAGTTGTCCCGGTGATATTGTTCTTGCTGGTAAGACTGACAATGAACAAGAGGGATCGCACGAATGTCAATTATACCCATTAACATGAGTTCGATACGACATAAATTTAAATATATCACAATTTATTAATACAAATAATAAATAAGTGGGGTTAGTGTTAGAAATAAATAACACATTTTGTTTAATATTGTAGAGAGAAAATAAATATTTATTTTGCATTTTTCATTTATTTATTTATTATGTATGATTTTTTTTTTCAAAATTTTTTAATCTTTACAATTATTAATACAAAGAATAATATTTATTTTAAATAATATGATTCGAATGTGACATGACTCCGATGAAACGGAAAGGAATTCCCATTTCTGTGGGCCATGAAAATGGTTGAAGTCAGCGAACAGAAAATAATAACATGGACCCAAAAGATAGGACATTATACGTAACCAGTGGGGTATATGGAGGGGGTGTCCTTACTATTAAAACATCACTAAGATTCTTTTTAATTTATTATATTTTCAATAACACCATTTTTATTATTTAAAACATGACTAAAATTTTTTTAGCTAATATTTAAACATTATTGACACCCTGTATCGTTAAACTACCGTTTCTAGCAAAAAAAAAGATTCATCTAAAATACTAAAATTATCCCTATATAAACTTCAAAAAATCTTTTTACATAAAATTTAATTAAAATTTGAGTTGATTAAAATTTATTTTTTTACATTAAGCTAATTAAAATTTATTTTTGTACATATTAAAATTTGAGCCTATTAAAATTCGAGTTGATTTGAACTCTACTTGAGCTGTTATCACCGATTAAAATTCGCTTCAAACAGATTAAAATTTATATTTTTTTAGTTTCAAAAATTGTTATGATTAAAATTTAATACAAGTTGATTAGAATTTGATTCGAATTGATTAAAAATTTATTTTTAATCGACTCGAATATAATTTTAATCAATTCAAATTTTAATACAGAAAAAATAAAATTTTTAATAAACTTGACTTTTAATACTTAAAAAAAAATTTAATGAACTCAAATCAAGTTTTAATCAGTCATAATTTTAATAAATAAAAAAATTTAAAAAATAGAAAGGGTCTCATCGAAGATATTTCTATCTATAAGAGGAGTGAATGAAGTTTTTTTTTAAATATATTATGGGCAATTTAATAAAATTATATTATAATTAACACCTTTAATCTAACATGGGGTGTTAATGAAGATTCAAAAAATAAACGGAGTGTCTTTGAAGATATGAAAAATTAGAAGGGATGTTAAAAAAAAAATTCTTACAAGCCCAAATTTGTGCTAATTATTTTTTTCACCTCAACGGCTAACTATCGTAACTTGAACAGATCTTAGAGTATGCCCCCAAAAAAACTAAGGTAACTAAGACTTTTAAAAGATAAACCTAACTACTGAATCTCCCTTAAAGATTAAATGATCTACATTACATGATTGATTTAGGACGGTTGCTTAGTATTTTAGTGAAGCTTAGTTAACCGATACGGTCAAAGATAAAATTTTCATTTTAGTGCTTAATTTCAGTTAACTTGAAAGTGAAAACTTTTCAGAAATACGTTAGAAACATAGAAAAAATTCAAAATGTTACCGAAATATTTAGAAATACAGAAATTCCAATTTTACACCGTCGTGTTCCGATACTGAAAGGTTTCATTCATTTGGGCGGACAATGGACATGCAACAACAAGGACCTTTGATGAACTCGCAGGGTCTTTCTGCAAATTAAAGTTCAAGTGCCAAACACATTACCGGATAGCGATGGTAATGATCAACAGCTACATCTCCATTAGTTCCATCCACGATATTACCTGAAATAGTACGACAAAGGTATTATAACTAGTGTTCCTGATAAGTATATAAATTCTTAAGTTACACCATGAACTTAAACTTTTAAAAGAGTTGGTGGTTTAACACGAGCCGGGCTTTGAATTGTAAGGTGCTTGTAAATGAGTAAATCTCACCAGGTTGGTGAGAGAAAACATCCCAGTTACTGAGTCCTTTCCCATCACTCAAGAAAGCTCCTTCAAACTGCAAAGATACCCCAAAAAAGAAAGAGAAAAAAAAAATATAAACCACCAAGACTTTCTGATATGTTGTATAAGTATTGGGATGAGAGAAAGAGAGAGAGACAGAGAGATGGGAACCTGATAAGAAGAGGAGGCAGTTCCAAATAGGAAGTTGTTTGGAAATGAAGATGGAAGTGAACTTCCTTTCAGAGCTATGAAATTAGTGAGATTACATGACACCACAAGAGTACATAAACACAATTGAAGCACAAATAGAACATGAAACAACGATGGAAGTTCCATGATATATATATATCAGCACGACACCAATTATTCCCCTGGAAAGAAAGGGTTTGCAGTGAGACTGAGATTGGCGTGCAGAGCATGCTATAGTTGTGGATGGTGTATATAGAAAAGTCTACGTAGGACCACAAAGAATTTTCTAGTGAATACCAAAAATTGCATACCACAGAAATTAGTCAAGTAAGAACAGTATTATGAAAATTTTATTTCGGTATCGTAATGAAAGTTATTATTATTAAAGGTGAAGGTATTCGTAATTCTTGAACAGTGACTCCACGGTCCCAGCATTATTATTCTGTTCTAATGTACCTATCATGATTTATGAAACCGCAGGTAAAGTACAATGATGTAGGACTGTTCCTACTAATAGACACCTCCCTTTCCCCAGCAACAAATACAAATTCGCCACATTAAGGTTTTAGGTTTATCTAACGACTGTTTTTTGATATTAATGTTTTAGGTGCGACACCGAAAAAGAATATTCAATACAGTAATCACTATTAGCTTTTTTTTTTTGGGTAAGTTAGTAATCACTATTAACTTGGAATATGCAAAAAGACTACGATATCGAAAGAGATACCGTATTAAAAATTATAATAATTTCAGGTTAAGTTATAATTTTTTAAGGTGTAAATTATAATTAAAAAAAAGAAGTTAGAATTGTTTAAGAGAAATCCATAATTGATCATGTGTATCTGTAATCGATCATGAATCCTTAATTGATCATAAATTTCTCCTGAATAATTGTAACTTCCTTTTAACCATAATAGTAATAACTTTGGGTACACTACCCAAGGCAGTAATACGATGAGGGCGATTTTCCAATGTTTAATTATCAAAGGGGCCATGTTTGCGTTGTCTTAAATGTGCCCCACAAAATCACATCAATTATCTGTGTGAACTATGCTGATTTTCACTATTTTTAAACTAATCAACAAACAAACATGGTTGTCATCAACCCAAATGATATTTTCATTCCACCCTACGTATGACTGACAACAAGATATTCAAGTAGGTGGGGTCAGATTATATTTTCGTTCCATCATACGTAAGACTGATAAAAAGATATTCAAGCAGCTAGGGTCGGATTAGGAAATGATTCGTTCAAACTTATTTAAATTTTAAGTAAAAAGAGTTCAATTTAAGTAACGTAACTCGATTTTGAGATGGTTCGTGTTTACTAATAATTTTAATTGTATTATCAAAAACATTTTTTCCCCAAAGATTAATAACTCTAAATTTGTATCCAAATGAATTCATGCCTTATTCAATATTTTTTTTTAAAAAAATTGTAATCTTAAAGTTTAACTTTGTAGTAGATTATTTTGATTTTGAAGATAGACGGGGGCTTTTACCAATAGATTCAATGCCTAATGATGCATGGAGGCGAGCATTTTGGTGTCTCTTTCAGAAAATCTAGCCCACACTGTCAACATCACATAAGGAAAAGAGAAGCGTTGAGGCTATCCCAAATGCCATTATCATATTATTACTGGATTTGGTGAAGAAATTTGGATTTTCACATATGGAAATCCCACCAAAGCAATCTAACACACGTCTGCCAATTCCCAAAAATCCAAAAAAATAAAAATACAAACACTAGGGCATCAATTGTCATCATGAGGCAATTTTCATCAGCCGGCCTTTTAATAGTGTTAGGCGAAACAAATTCGTGTCGTATTTTAATGGATTTATGTCAAAAAATATTTCATTAATATCCGATTCATTTATTAATTTATATTTAACGAGTAATTTATTTTTTTTAATTAACTTTATGTTAGAGTATATGTGGCTCATATTTGCTGTGTGCATAATGGCAAGGAGGCAGATGCCGGAGCGAAGCCCCGTGACGGCAGCTGCCTTGCGGGATTTATATAAAAGGGACGCTGATTAGTTGGGGGTGCGGGGGCAACGCCCCCGCGGTACGGTATAAGGGTATTTTTGTAAATACGTCCATATTAGGGTTATATAAATACTTAAGATGTAACCCTATTCAATAATGGAAAAGAACGGCCGCTCGCTCTCGTGGATGTAAAACACATTGCCGAACCACGTAAATCTCTGTGTGTTATTTTCTCCTGCTTTCTTAATTGTTTGATTCCTTACTATTCACCATAATTGCTGCACGATCACAACAATTGGTATCAGAGCTTGACTACGATGTCTGGGATTTCCTCTATAAAATTCGACATCATGAAGTTCGACGGAACTGGGAATTTCGGATTATGGCAGAGGAGGGTGAAGGACCTGTTAGTGCAGCAGGGCATGGTGAAGGCATTATACGGAAAACAACCGGCAGGAATGGACGACATGGATTGGAAAGAATTGGAAGCGAAGGCTGTGGCGACTATTAGGCTTTGTCTGGCTGATGAAGTGATGTATCACGTCATGGATGAGGAATTACCGGCGGAAGTTTGGTTGAAACTGGAAAGTCGGTATATGTCCAAGTCGTTGACGAACAAGCTCTATCTTAAGCAGAAACTATATGGTCTCAAGATGTCAGAGGGCTCGGATTTGACCCAACACATCAACGTATTCAATCAGATCATCAGCGATCTGAAGCGAGTTGATGTGAAGTTCGAAGACGAAGACAAGACGCTGATGTTGCTGAATTCCCTACCGGCGTCTCCTACGGACGAGAATTTGGTTACAACTCTGATGTGGGGGAAAGAAACCCTCGAATTGGAGGATGTCACAGGTGCTCTGTTAGGTTTTCATCAGCGGAAGAAAACCAGTGATGAGGCTTCACAGGGTGAAGGGCTTGTGGTGAAAGGTAACCAAGAACGTGGAAGAAGCAAATCTCGGAATGGATCGGGTAACAATAAAGCCCGGTCTAAGTCGAGGAAGAAGAAGAAGGACGTCTCTGTCTCGTGTTACAAGTGCGGGAAAAAGGGGCACTTTAAACGGGATTGTCCAGAGAAAAAGAAAGGGGATTCAGAGAACAAAGAGGGTGCATCAAAGTCTGCAAACGTAGTGGAAGAAGAAGATTCAGAGAGTGGTGGCGGAGATATGCTTTCTGTTTTATCTAGTTCAGATCGTTTAACAGATTCTTGGATTATGGATTCAGCATGTTCCTATCACATGACACCTAACAAAGATTGGTTTGACACCTACAGGTCAGTAAATTCTGGTTCTGTTCTGATGGGTAATGATGCATCTTGCAAAGTTGTTGGAATAGGAAATATTAGAATTAAGATGTTTGATGGTATGGTTAGAACGTTGTGTGATGTTAGACATGTACCAGATCTAAGGAAGAATTTGATTTCATTGGGCACTTTGGATTGTAATGGTTATAGTTACAAATCTATAAGTGGAGTAATGAAAGTAAGTAAAGGCATGCTGACAGTGATGAAGGGACAGAAAGTAGTAGGAAACATTTACAGACTGCTGGGTACTATAATTGTAGGTGGAGTTGCTACTGTAGAGTTTGAATCAGATAATACAGTCTTGTGGCATATGCGGTTGGGTCATATGAGTGAGCGTGGGATGATAGAGCTTCATAAGAAAAATCTATTGAAAGGTGTCAAGACATGCAAGCTCAATTTTTGCAAATATTGTGTTCTTGGAAAACAGAATAGGGTGCAGTTCAAGACAGCCACACACAAGACAGAGGGGGTTCTCGACTATGTCCATACAGATGTTTGAGGACCAGTTAGCGTACTATCACGGGGAGGATACATGTATTTCGTGAGTTTCATTGATGATTACTCACGAAAGGTCTGGGTGTACTTCATGCGGCACAAGTCAGAAGTGTTTGCCAAGTTCAAGTTGTGGAAAGCTGAAGTAGAGAACCAGACAGGGAGGAAGATTAAATGCCTCAGGTCAGATAATGGTACTGAGTACACAGATTCAAAGTTCCAGGAGTTGTGTGAGCAGCATGGGATCAAGATACACTTCACAGTCCGCAAGACACCACAACAAAATGGTGTAGCGGAAAGGATGAACAGAACGATAGTCGAGAAAGCTCGGTGTCTCAGGTTGAATGCAGGGCTTGCAAAGAATTTCTGGGCAGAGGCAGTGAATATGGCATGTTTCTTGATTAACAGATCACCGAGGGCAGCACTAGATGGGAAAGTATCAGATGAGGTGTGGACAGGCAGTGAGATAGACTACTCTGGTTTGAGAGTGTTTGGATGTCCAGCCTATGTACATGTTTCTAGTGAGGAGAGGTCGAAGCTTGATGCGAAGTCTAGACAGTGTATCTTTCTGGGATATCAGAAAGGAGTGAAAGGTTTCAAGCTCTGGGATCCGAAGGCAAACAAGATGGTGATCAGTAGAGATGTGGTTTTTGATGAAAAAGCCATGTTGCAGCGTACTCAGGAAGAAGAGAAACAAGTACCAGAAAACTGTAGCACTAATGACCATGTGGTGCAGGTGGAGCTAGAGAATCATTGTAGAGAAGAGGATGCTCAGCATGTAGAGCGTTCTATCTCAGGTGATCAACTGCATCATAGTATAGCCACAGACAGGCCCAAACGCAATATCAAGCCACCTACCAGGTATGGTTTTGAAGATTTGGTTTCTTATGCGCTTATTACTAGTAGCGGGGATCCTACAACTTTTCAGGAGGCAGTACAAAGCCAAGAGAAAAGTAGATGGATGGGTGCTATGGTGGAGGAGATGGAGTCTCTGCATAAGAACCAGACGTGGGAGTTGGTGGAACTTCCCGAGAGGAAGAAAGCAATAGGGTGCAAATGGGTGTATAAGAAGAAAGAAGCAGTATCAGAAAATGAGGGAGAAAAATTCAAGGCTCGTCTAGTAGCAAAGGGTTACTCACAGAGAAAAGGGGTTGACTATGATGAGGTGCTTCTCCCCCCGTGGTCAGACACACTTCCATCAGGACAGTGTTGGCACTAGTAGCATATTCAGATATGCAGTTGGAGCAGATGGATGTAAAGACAGCTTTCCTTCATGGCGACTTGGAGGAACGGATTTACATGGTACATCCAGAAGGGTTCAGTCTCCCTGGAGAGGAACATTTGGTCTGTAATTTGAAGAAA